CGGAGTTCTAGTGAGAAACCGTGACTAGTGGAGTTAATCCATGTCAGGTTGAGACAGGGATATACCTCACTAAGATGATCAATTAGAACTGAACTCAGTGACGATAAAGTCGATAGTGGATTCCTCAAAAAACTGCGGTCATACTTAGTTAGTTCTGAAAATGAGTCTGACCCAGATATTACTTGGAAAGATATACAAACAGCTGTGGAAACATCAGCGACATATATTAGTGATTTAAACTAAAGGGTTACAAAAAATCAATCGATTTCTTCTAAGTCTGTTGCACTGATAGATTCTCGTAAACTCATCCCATGAGGTTCCGAACACGATGAGCAGCGTAAGCAAGTCAGATCTAGGTTAACCAAAAGTCTAAGGAACGACCGTGGGCAGTGGTGGGCAACGAAAGAGATGGAAAAGACGGCGAAGGTAAGTGACACAAGACAGCTCTTCAGCCTAATAAAATAAACTGAAATTAAGAGATCAAGTGTAAATGGGACGATCTCGGAAAAAAACGACACTCTTAGCTGCTCTCAGCCCAAACGTTTAGAACGATGGGCGGAAAATTTTGAGGAGAAGTTCAGCTGGCCTTCAGCTACTCTACAACTATCCACCCATTCCCAAACAACCTGAATGGAACATTGAAATAGGCCCCCGACTCCAGTTGAAGTCCAAAAACCTATGGCTAATCTGAAACAAGGCAAGGAAGCTGGTCCAGATGGATTAGCTTCAGATATCTTTAAGGATGTTGGTCAAATGTTAGCAATTAGGTTGGCTAATATTTGAGCTAAAATGTAATGTAATGAATGTAATCACATTTGACTGGTCGCAATCACTTATCGCCACAATATATAAGAGAGGGTCAAAATCGTCCTGTGACAACCATAGAGGGATTAGTTTAACTAATATAGTAGCTAAAATACTAGCCTCGATAATTATCAGACGCCTAACTAAGACTCGTGAACTGCATACACGAAAAAATCAGGCTGGCTTCAGAACTGGTCGTGGCTGCATCGACCACATATTCACCATTCGTCAGATCTTAGAGCATAGACATGCTTATTGGCGTCCGATAATGGTGGTCTTTCTTGACTTAAAAGCAGCATTTGACTCTGTAGACTGAGAGGTTCTATGGCAGTGTTTGTCACTGAAAGATGTACCTCGAAAGTACGTAAACCTTATGGAGGTTTTTTACTCGAATACTACTAGTCGAGTCAGAGATTATGGCGAAATATCATCTGCTTTTGCAACCTCAGGTAGTATCCGTCAAGGCTATCCACTTTCTCCATTTTTGTTTAACTTTATCATATACCTACTGATAAAAATAACGCTCTCGTCGACTAAATCTTCGGGCATCGATCTCCTACGAGAGCGTCCACTTATCGGCTTACAATACCCAGATGATATAGTCCTGTTTGGTGAAGACGCTGATAAAATTCAGTGTCTTTTGGTGGCACTGAACAACAATGCCAGGATGTTTGAGATGCGTTTCTCCCCATCTAAATGCAAGTTGTTGCTTCAGGACTGGCCTGCGTCATCACCTAAACAAAAGACAGGGAGTGAAGTAGTAGAGCGCGTTGAAAACCTCACTTATCTTGGAAGTCTGACCAGCCCTATTGGGTTGGTGTCTGACGAAATATGTGCATGGATTCAGAAATTTCGTTTGGCTTTTGCCAAATTATGTCACTAAAGGCGAAGGCGGGATATCCGTCTGTCAATAAAGGGGAGAGTGGAATGCGCGGTAGTTCGTTCTGTTCTACTTTACAGCTGCGAAACGTGGCCATTAAGAGTAGAAGATACTCACAATTTACTAGTATCTGATCACAAACGTCTTAGAAATATTGCCAGCATCTGTTGGGATCACTGGGTAAGTAATGGTAAGATTAGACGCAGAGTATTAGGGAATAATGGTAAATCAGTTGGTGAGGTTGTAAATCTCCATAGACTGAGTTGGTTGGGCCACGTGTTACGTATGCCTGAACACCGATTACCACGACGCGCAATGCTAACTGGTGTTGGGGATGGTTGGAAGAATGTTAGGGGTGGCCAAACCAAAATGTGGCGTCAGTGCTTGAAGACATTAACTTCTAGTCTGAGCTATGTCGGTAGATGCAGACTACTTGGTTGTGGTCCGCGTGACTATCGTAGCCAATGGTTAGAAACTCTTGGTGACAGTGGCGTCGGTGTATACACTCTTTTTCTTCCCTTAAACCGTGAGATTAAAATCGCTTCCTATCTCTCTTTCTTCCCGTTTCGTATCCTTATATACACTCTCCTTTATATAAAACTACCGTTGAAGTAACTACTTCTCTGAATCTGGTGTTCATCGTGTTGTGCTAATGCGGTATGGCACCTTGAGCCGATACATATATGTGCCTGATCTTACGTTGTAGATGATCGATTGAATATATATCTCATTTAGCAGATGGATCGGATAATCAATATCGTTTGAAATTTACGGACTACAGAACTGAATTACTAAATAGATATAAGATCTATGAAAGTTCGATATATTTAGTGTTCCCTGATGATATTTATTTTAAAACTTCATTATCACTATTTTATATATAAGAGAACATCTTTTGTAGGTGTTCGGTTCTCCGTTTAATTATAGACCTTCAATTGTCCTTCTAATCAATATCATTATAATAGCATAAACCTAAGATAGTAAAGAGTCATTACAATTTCTTCCTAACTGACTAAAACTGTTGACAGAACAAGCTTTTAGTCACGATTAAATCAAGTATCTGAGAGAACAAAATACTTTCACAATCTTTCTCCTGAGTTGTCTGGCTTCTCTGTTATCTCACAATATAGCTTATTTTATTAGTTAGTGGTATATCTTGTACCTGAGCTCTCAGACATTAACTTCTTAACCGCTTTGTAATCCTCAAAAGTTTGATATTGTTGAATTCTGAGATAGAAAAGCAAACGTTGTACAATAATGGAGGATCCTTACTTCCAAGGTTAGTTGATGTACAAAAAACAAAGATATTTGTAGAAATATCTATCTTTGATAACTTAGAAGCTTCTGGAAAACAGGATAAAGTTGGTAACAAATTCAGTAACTGTTTATTCAGGATAATAAAAACGTAATTCATTATTTTCAAGAATCCACATCAAAATTCTCTTAGGTAAAATAACTAGCTGAAGTATTTCAACAACTTTCTGACTTCTGAGAAGTTTCCACAGGAATCTTCACTCTCTTAGTAATTATCAGTATGGGATTATGGAGATTGTTCAATTTTTGGTTGAGATCATGAATCGATCAGTGTTAGACCACCATTAAAAACCTGAAAGCACTGGATGGTCGTTTCGTCCCAGCATGAGACTCCTCAACAGTATGCATCCATAATCCCGAACCCGGGATTCGAATCCAAAACCTTCCGCCTCACGTGCGAACGCTTAACCTCTAGATCACTGATCCACCATCCAACGGTGTTAATGTCCCACTTCAATAATTAGTTAACTAGTTAATATAATATTTACTAAATTGCGTTTTAATGATGGAAATTAAAGGGAATCCAATCTAACCATCTTCAGTTACTTCATATACTCCTTCCTATTCTTAGAAAAAAATATCTAAGAAAAATTGCTAACAAGAAACAAATCTGATGAGTTCGAATAAATTGAGTATTGGGTAGATTGTTATATATAAATTAATGTATTTGTAATATCCCAAAGAGTAGAACAGTTAGATTTTCTGAGGTTTTGTGAATTAGTGTAAGCCACTTCTTCAGAGAATAAATAACCGAATTAAAATTAAAAAAACGTTTTTCCAACTACAAAGAAAGGAGAGTAGCTGAAGCGTTCTACATAATGCTTAATTCTACTTCTCCCAATTGAAAAGAAGGCCTTACCATACATCCTACTTGGACTATCTATCATAGCCATCTAGTCTGGTATTATTTACAATTCACACTATTATCTTACAAATTAAACTCTATCCTCAATTGGTATTGTTTTGCCTGTATCTTCACATTAAGGTTTTTAGGACTGCAGTTGATCAATCTCTTATTGGCATATGTGCATACTGCGCGTATTGCCTCGATATTTGCCTTAGTTCACAAGCTTTACAAGCAAACATGGACAGTGGCTAGCAGTGGAATCCAGGACGAGCGTTCCGTCCTATCTGAGACTCGTTAGCTGGATGTACGTGCATCTGAGTTGATACTCACTCTGGGACTCGAACCCAGTACCATTCACTTCAAATGCCAGCGCGTTATCCACTTAACTACTGACTCCTGATAGCCACTTGCTTGTGCAATGAGATGAATTTAAATTCATTTGGTGTTGTTTTGCTTGTGTCATTTCTCACCATAAAGGTCACACTATTTTCATCCCTAGACAGCGCACACATACATACACACAAATTTACATACATGTCGTTTATGAATCACCTTGACCGAAATGAAATGACAATGATTTATTCAGACCTGTTTTTTTTATTGATCGCACATAATATTCTTATGTTGTTCCTTTGTACTATTTAAACTTGGATTAATTTTGATTTCAATAGTCGAAATCATGAGTCAGTTGAAGCTAGATCACCAATGGAAAACCTGGAGGCACTGGACAGCCGCTTGTCCTACTGTGGGATTCCTCAGCAGTGCGCATCCACGATCCTGCCCCATGCGAAATTCGAACCCAGGACCCGTCAGTCTAGCGCGCGAGTGCTTAACCATTAGACCACTGGGCTGGCCGGCATCCAACGGTATTAATGTCTAACTTCAACTAATCCACGAAATTGCGCCACCGCACTACTGAGGATTTCCATACCAGAACGAAACGGCTGTCCAGTGCTTCCAGGTTTTCCATTAGTGATCTAGCTTCAATTGACTCATGATTTCAACTATTGAAATTACTAAAATCTCCACAAAACCCCTTCTGATAATAATTTTGATTTGGTTATTTATTCATTCTCTGAAGAAGTGACTTACGCTAAGTTACGAAACCTCAGAAAATCTAATTTTTCTATTCATTGGGATATTACGAATATATTGATTTATTTCTAAGAAACAAATCGTACATTTCGTTCTCATAAATGTTCTTATTTCTCCAAGTTTAAGCAATTAAAGATTGAATCTATGTTTATAAATACATACGTATATAAATCAAAATAAGATTATACATAGTCACATTAAATAAGCTTTATAATGAATTGATTATAATGAATTGTTTCATTCTGTTTATAAGTGTCATTGTTGAATGCCTAATTACTCTTCGTATATATATAGTTATATATGTTGTTGTTGTTGTTGTTCCTTCTACATTCTTCTTCATTTACATTCATTCATCCATATCTCATGAGACTTCCAAGATGATTTTTTGAATTTGTATAATATTCTTCATCTACATTCTTATTATTATTAGTATTAGTATGATCATTATTATTATTACGATCATTTCTTGGATTATAAGTATTATCATCTATATTATTATTATCATCATCGATATTATTAGTTTTCATATTGTATTGATGATTAGGTATATGATCTGTATGACCAATAAACATGGCTCTAACTAAATTAGTATCTAATGGTTCAAATAATTCATAACGTTTTTGTAATGGTAATGATGATAAATATGTTCTTGGTAAATAATCATAATAATAATAATGATGATGATGATAATGGGATTTGGTTAGTTTAAATGTTGTACAATAATCCATAGAAAGGTATATAATGAATAGAATGAATAAAATTCTTAGATATAAATCTTTTCTTATTATCATTAGTAGATATATATGACTCTCTGTTAAGATAAAAAGGAAAAAGAAAATAGGTGGAAAAAAACATTAAAGTAAATCACTAAGGTGTTTGAAAAACAAAAAATGTTTCTTATTGTCAACCTCTAAATACTTAACTTCAACACAGAGTATATGTGATATTTAGTCACTTAGACTAATGATCAGTTTCAACGTTTCAATGTTAGGTTGTTGATGTTAGTCGATAGCTGACTTGGGATCTGCTTTTTGAATTATTTGGCACTTGTTCGTAAGAAGTACATGAATTGTTGGAGGAATTAGCATTTCCTGTGGGATTCAAATTCAGGTCAGTCAATTTCATGAACTGATATTATTAACATTAATCTATTCGACTAGTGAATAATTTCCTGTAGGATCATGAAATAGGAATTACTGTCGTATTTGTTTATTCCTTAGTGTTAGCGAATATATTTAACGTTTAATGTTCAGTCAATTTTATTTAAACATATGGTTAACTGAACCTCAGAAACAATCTGTCATCTAATCAATGTAAAAGTACGAGAAAGGATATTCTGATGTAGTTGGTCGTATGAGTTCCGGATAACGTTGACAATCATCTGAGGAACTCCGTAGTGTCGAACAAGTTTCCATAACGTTCTCCTATCTACACTGTCAAATGTCTTTTCATAATCAATGAAGTTGATGTATAGTGACGAGCTCCATTCAACTGATTGTTTGACGATGATCCGTAGTGTCGCAGTTTGGTCTGTGCACGACCAATCCTTACGGAATCCAGTCTGCTGATCTCGGAGTTGGGTCTCTTCATGAGCTTTTATCATATTATTATTACTCTTTAAATACAGAAAGCTTAAGTAAAGGAAATCATTCTTCTTCTTTTTTCTTCTGATAAAGCAAACATAAACAAATTTGTTTCAATCTTCTGCTCACAAAAAAGATAAGCATATTATCTGTACATAAGGATCATAAGTAGGTAAGTTTGGAGTGAATACAACATAACATTCAAGACTACACAAACAATTTGTGTACCAAAATAGTTAAGAATTTTTAATAATTATAGTTTAGTTCTAGTATAGGACTACTTATTGATTATCACCTAGATTGTGATCAAGGATCGAATCTAGAACTATCAGAGATCATGAAGAGTTAAAATATATTTGTTTATATTTATAGCATCAGTTAATAATTTAAAATCACCATTCATTACCATCAGTAGTATTTGTCTCACGCCCTACATGGTTGAACTTAACTAGTTTTTGTTTCTCATTAGAACTTCAGGAATTACCTCTGGAAATCAGTCATTAGTGTAAACATACATGATTACTATTAGCATTTCATAGTTCATATCACGGGCTGATCCTTGTTAGACAATATTTAAAAATCAAGAATCAATGGACAAATGTCTCGTTCCTATGTGGGAATCCTAGGCAGACAATATCTCTGACCCTGACAGAAATCGAACTCAGGATTGTCAAGTCTCTCAATGAGTTATTAACCTTAAGACCACTGAGTTGACGCATAATGATCTTCACTTCTGTCTATAAAATTCAGCAATCTCCAAGATCATCCTTATACTAATAATGTGCTTTAAAAGAAACAACTCTCAGAGTTCTATTGAGCAACCCTAACCAGTAGAGTTCAATTATATTGAATATGAAGAAGTCCCCCACCAATGAAACTTAAAGATCATTGTTAAATGGTTGAGGTTAAACATTTAACTCGTTGGATGTCGACTCACTGACTTAATGGTTAAGCTCAAGCCTTGAGATCTGAAGGTAATGAATTTGATCCTCGGTAGGTTGTGTACGCACAATTTTGAGGAGTACCACACTAGTATGAAATATCTGTCCAGTGCCTCCTGGTTTTGAATATCTGTTTAACTAAGGTCAGTTTGTGATGTAAAACTATAAGATTCAGCAATCTCCACGAAATCACTCACACTAATAGTAGTATTGTTCATTATGAAAATTGCGATCGATTGACACAAATCATTTAAGAACTTCATAAATTCACCTAGAAGTAAACCACCAATGAGATTCATTTTATGACGAGTAAGAACAATCTCTACAAAACTCCTTCAACACTACAAAGCTAAATTATAGCGATTTCAAGTAATTTAATAGTCAATTCAACAAAAACTAGTCACATCCCTGTGGAAAATCTTTCTGAACAGCTTGATTTTCCGATCATTGTGATCATATACATTAGTTCATGATGCTTAGCTAAAATCCTTTCGCATTTCTGCGCAGAAATTCTTATTTCATATATTTAATCTCCATCTTTGTAGGCCTTAGTTATTGAATACCTTTGAAAAGAACAGCTTTCAAGTTATGAATTAGATTATAGAACTTCTTGAAAATGAAAAACTCCTAATTGAAGTATATTAAGATGGTGGAGAAGATTTGTAGCTCAGGTGGATGAATTTGATGTAGTTTTGTTCTCTGAGTACGATCAAACCATCCAGCTCAGAGAACAAAACTTCATCAAAATGAAGTATATTAAACCGAGTTCATTCAGATGAAGCAATGTTTGGGGACATTTTTGCACACTATATATAATTTTAATCTCAACTTTTCATTATATTTTTACGATATTCCTCATCAGAAGGAAAACAATTCCACAAAACCCACTCTGATAATAATAATCATCTGCTCACTAGTGACTGACTTCAGGAGACACTCCTGGAGTTCTAGTGAGAATTCGTTACCAGTGGAGCTCAACCAGGTCTGTTGTGAGTTATCACCTCACTGAAGACAATGGTGTACGGTGGCGCAACTTCGTAGATTGGCTGAACTTAGACATTAACACCGTTGGATGCCGGCCGGCTCAGTGGTCTAGTTGGTTAAGCGTCTGGCGCGAGACTGATAGGTCCTGGGTTCGAATCTCGCGGGGGGCGGCATCGTGGATGCGCACTGCTGAGGAGTCCCATACTAGGACGACATGGCCGTGCAGTGCTCTCAGGTCTTCCATGGTGATCTAGCTTCAATTGACTCATGATTTCAACCAGTAAAATTCCAATAAACCCTATCTATCAATGTACAGTAGAAAGTCTACAAAAATTTCAGTTAAAATAACATCAATAAAGCAAAATTTAAACATAGACAAATTAAATAAATATCTGATCCATACATAGTGTAAAGCAACACTTATAAGTGACTTCAATATAATACCCGAACATCAAAGATCAAACATTATGGCAAAATTGTCTAGGAATAGTCTGACATAAAAAATTGTAAGAGAAAAATCAACTTAAACACAGAAAAAGTGTTCTCAAAACTTTTTAACAAGGTATATATGGAAGAAAAAAACTTCTCAAAGCAACAACAGTAAGATTCAGTTCCTTATAAGTTTTAAGCTAAGGTTAGTAATCTTTCAAGATGTCAATCTTCTTAGATTCATCAACGAATATGAACTTAGTACATTGAATAATAGATTGTAATAGTGAAAACCTTCCTTCTCTTTTATTTTGTCAATTTCTACCTACGCTACTTATAGTTAAATGAAAGTCTAATTTATCTATCCGACAACATCATCTTATCGGTAAAATTATATTATATAGAGAGATTCAGTGATACTTAAAGTGACTCTCCTTAGTTCTAAAGCTTTGTTCATTTAATATTAGCAGATTTTGTACTAATTAGAAGTGTTTCACAACAGAACTAATGAAAATTATTAGAGTTTAGTAAGTTTAAGCAGTTTATTAACCTTTAAAGGATCATTTTTACTATTATAGAAGTATTGTTGCATCATCTCACTAATTTAAATGTTAGCATATACAAATGAAATCATAGGGGAATGATCGTTGTCAGTCAATCATCTACAACGTAGGATCAGGTATATATGTGCATCGGTTCAAGTTGCCATATCTCATTAGCAAAAATAAGATGAACAACGAATTCATAGAAGTAGTTAATTCAGTGGTGGTAATATATATATATAATAAAGTCAGGGATGAAGATCGTTATCTATTTTAATATCTTTACTTCACTAGTTTAATTATTATTCAATAAACCGTTAATAAGATATCTTTTTAGCGAATTTATTAGAATTAAAGTAAACTCGAACAAAACTGATTGATTCACGTGTTACGCAATGTACATATATATGTAAGATAATATATATAGGTATCAAGAGTATTATATAAAGGTATTTCTATCGCACATGTAATAGAATAAAAGATAAAGTCATTCATTTTTCTATTTCGTACAAACACTATCAAGTAGTTATTTGATTGGCTAGTTCCCCGCTATTCACCATACTTTTGCCGTCTATTCAACTTCTAATATTTACGAAATATGAGTAGACCACAAATAGTTATGCATAAAGTAAGTTAAAAAGAATCTTTTTTTGTTTAACTAGCACTTTATCATCAGTATGGCCTTAGATACGATTTTTAGTAATGTTGATATCGAACTTACTTTGTTCAGAGGTTAAATTAAGATCTGGTGTATATCGTCTACTCTTAAATGTCAAATCAAATGTAATGAGCTGAACAAAAACTAAATCGTTTATCCACAGTTCCCAAACTATTTCATTTGTAAGTGTTTGAATCCTCTCGCTGTTGATGTCTAAGTCTGTGACTGATCAATCATTTACTTTGATATATATATCCTAGATGAATTGTCTCAATATGGTCATTTTTTGCAAGTTTTTATGGCAAGCTAACAACTGAATCCAGGATATACATTTTATCCTACTTAGAAATCAGCAGCTGGACATAATACAATTACAACAACAGTCCAGAATTCTAATGTCTGAAAATTACCAACCATTAATAACAATCTTTTACTGTCTTTTTTAAAACTAAAAAAAGACTTGTAAAAAAACCTAAATTCTATAGATTTAATTTCGAGTATACTTATTCGAAACCCCCGGATACCATCAGCAACAGACTTCTGTGGGAGAGAACAAACCAGCTTCCAGCTGGAGAGGAAATTAAGAAAAGATGATGGAAATGGATAGGACATACATTACGCAAATCATCAAACTGCATCACAAAACAAGTCCTAACTTGGAATCCTGAAGGGAAGCAGAAAAATGGAAACGTCGGGAAATAAAGGCAGATATGAAAAGGATGAATAAAAACTGGAAAGAGCTGGGAAGGATTGCCTAGGACAGGGTTGGATGGAGAATGCTGGTAGGCGGCCTATGCTCTTCCACGAGGAGTAACAAGCGTAAGTAAGTTAATTTTAAATTCCATAATGAAACTCGATCCAAACTACATTATTATTTATAATATACTGATTAGTTTATTTATACTCAAAAAATTATGTCTATATATTAGGCTGTGTTGATTGTGATGCGTTGTACTCTATTGAAGAGTCTTCCTGTAAGATCTCAACTCGTGCCAAAGAACATTTAAGTTACACAAAAAGACCTCCTAATAATCCTGTAGAATTGGAAAATTTACAAGTGAAATCAACAATAGTAGTACATGCTATTTTCAATAATCACCAAATTGATATTGAAAATATTAAAATAATTCAGAATGGCTATTCCAACTACAAAGAGAGACGAGTAACTGATAGGAAAGAAGACCTGAATATTCGTCCAACCTGGACCGTTTATCCAGACAACCACATTTGATTCTATTTTTTTGTATTATTTTTTTCATACATACACACACATGGATACACAACTCAACTCACTACTTCATATCACAAATGCGTGCATTTTTCACAACTACAATTTGACACACAAATTAATACAGTGACAAGCTATACAAATTCACCTTGACCAAAATTACTTGACATTGACATATCCACACCTATTATACTTTTCATTGTACTAAAAAAATATTTTGCATTGTTTCCTATGTACTATTCGAACTTGTGTTAATTTAATGTTTAGTTATTTATTTACTCTGAAGAAGCAACTTATATTAAGTCACGAAACGTCGGAAATACAATTTTTCTACCCATTGTAATGTCGATCAATCTACTAAGTAGTAAACAATATTCAATATCAGTTCCGAGTAACTCGTCGAAGTTAATTATCCGAAAATATAACGAGAAGAAAAAGAAAATGAAAGCGAATCAAAGCATATTGTTGATACAATGTTAAATATGTGAATATAGATAGAGAATTTCAAGGTGTCTATTTAATATTTGATGATTTAAGTAGTATGTAACACAAATTATAGTTGTAATGATAGATCAATGAATATTTTGCCCGTTTGAAGTGTATTTTTATCACGAATCGATCTATATAAGTTAGAGAACTGTTAAATACCTTACAGAAATCGACAACTGACTTAAAAAAGTTTGTGACTTTTCAATAATGAGCTAAAGTAATACATATATGTTATATCCTAGCGAAGATTAAATCATGAGTAACTTCTGAGAACTATTAGTGAACTAATATTATCTATATATTTTTATTGTATAGCTGTTCAGTAATTAGATTGTTTATATCTATATTTTATGGCGGTCTACTTGACTGGTATATAAACCAAGTATGTTTGAAATGAATGATTCATATAGTAGAAGCTGTTATTTGCGTTCTGGACTAAATTGGAACCAATAAGGACGTTGGGCTGTTCATACCGGTCGAGTGTCATTGATTCGATACAACACTAAGATTGAATAAGTTGTATTTCGATTGGCGAATAAATCACGTAATAATAAGCCGGCTTTAAAGTCACAACAATATACAGGATCGAATCCAGAACTTACGGATCTCAGAATGGACGCAGTATATTTAAATCACTGAGATAAAATCCAATGTTTCACATATCTTATTTCAGACAATTTAGTATATCTCATGACATTATTATCATTATTATCCGCTACCAATCATATGTAACATAATTAGACCCAACAGTTGTTGAATACTCATTATTGCTCATTAGCTCTAGAAATGGTTCCACTAGAATCATTCATAAAAACAATTTGAATTATCCCCTTTGTGAATATTCTTAACTAAATTTTAGTCAGCTTTTGTTAACATATGTTCAATCTATGTAGATTATCTCGAAATTCATGAAAATCCAGCTGAAAAATTTCAAACAAGATGAAACTGTAGTGTCGGTTACTATGTTAAGCCCATGTACCTTATTGTAGCTTTCGGATAGCCCATTCTACCTGAGTCACATTCTGATCTTGTTATTTATTCGCTTATCAATCTTGACTGTTTTTATATAGGCGCGTAGGTGTGTGTACAGTTCTTATACCATTACTCATCACATGTCTGTCACTTACTTTTGTGTAACTATAATTATTGATTAACGCTTGGTTAAATGGGAGTTGGCTTACCAGCCATCTCCACTCTGCGTCGTTTCTATTCTCTCTATTCCATTCACTTCATATAAAAAATATATGTATTCACAAGTCCATTCTCGTTATTCGACTTATCTAATTCCGTTATTGACTAACGCGATTTAAGTCGATGATAATATACGAGGTTAAGCCATAGCAAACATTCATACCATCTAATCGGAATCAGATCCTCGGGCCACTAAATTGGAGAGCCCTTTCGACAACATCGTTCGATTTAAACGACGATAAAACGACGGGCCCCACTAAAAAACTCAATTCTTCGACTCGATCATTAACTTTAATTCATCTAACCTACATTGAAAATGTTTCTTTTCATAAGAACTTACAAGAGAAAATCTTCACAATTCACTTGTATAGATTCAACAATAATAAATAGGGATTTTCAATAATAATAATAATAATAAAGCTTCCTATCAAAACTGACAATTAACTTACATCAGTGACTATATAATTGAAATCCGTCAAAAAAACCGCTTCATGTAAACAAACTGATGTTATATTTATAATAATTTTAAAACACCCACTAATTAATTCATACTATAAATATACCTCTGCTTTTTCTTTTTAAAAAAAAGACTAAACATAGAGACACTGAAAAGTATATAAATTTAATGTTTGTTCAAATTTCAATTGGATAACAACTAAAATTGAAATTTATTCCATTCTATCTCATATTATCAATGAAGAAGCATTAATAAGGTAAATAAATAAATGAACAAATCAACAAAAAGCAACTTACAAGTAGATAGCTAACAATGAAATTCGAAATGTGCATTTCATCCTGTTTAGGACTCGTCATCTGGATGTAATTACATCTTTAAGTTGATGCTTACTTTAGGGTTCGAACCTAGTACCATTCGCTTCAACTGATTCAGTTAATTCACTTAATTTCAAAGTTGATATAGTAATTAGTGTTAGTAATTATTTAAATGGTGTCAATATGTTTTTAAATAAACATAAACAAACAAACAAACAAACCGGTATACTGGTTGTGATCACATTATTTCTATAAGATACACAGTTTTTTGCTTCCACATTGTTGATGTGTGTGTGTGTGTATTAAAATGTATCCATTGATAAAACTCATTTGTTTCTTTTAGTCATAGAATATATGATGTGGATTGAAGAAGAGATTTGTAGCATCAAGGGAGCAGACGAAACAAAAACTAATCCTATTCAATTTGAAGTGGCACAGATTATCACGTTGTTGAAAGTTGATCTCTTGTATATGGCATGGTACATCCAATTGACAAGTCCAAAATAGGATGAAACATATGTCCTAAATTCCACTGTTAGTTATATCCCATCTATTCTATATGAAAAATAACCTAGTCGATCTATTATTGTTCTTATTATTATCATTTATGAAGTGTTGAACAACTTCAAAATCATTTAATATAATTGGTAATCGGAATCAAAAATCAAATTTTAGACATTATTTAGTTCATAGTATTGATCTACTAGTTGTTCATTATCAGTAGTATTTTGTTTATTATTCTCATAGTTTTGTATAACCTACATCAATGACCAGTCATAGTTAAACAATCATTGGAAATTAGGAACTACTGAATAGTTATTTCATCCTTATACTGAAAATTATTATGTAATTCCTAGTGACTTATTTCAAGAAGTAATTAATAGAGTTCTGATGAGAAATTTTAACTAGTAGAGTTTAGTCATATCGAGTGTGAGTCAGTTACTCATCAATTGGATTAGCAGTTGATTGCGTAATATCGCAAATTAATTAAAGCTGGACATATAAACCATTAGATGATAATATAATGGTTTGAATATTAAGTGGTAACTCTAAGTGTTCTGGGTTCGATCACTAGATGAGCTACTAGATGTACACTACTGAAGATGTTCATACTAGGACGAAACAGATTTCCAATTCTTACTGGTATTCAGTATTTGTTTAACTAAGATCAGTTTGTGATATGATCCGTTAAATTTAACAGTCTCCACAAACTCTTTTTATTGATAATATCATATTTCATGTCAAAGTACCTAGACTTTACATTTAAACCTGTAGAATAGTTAATACTATAAATTTTCCATCTACTTGGATTTGAGCAGTCAGTTAGCAAGTACTCTTTTACATTCATATGCATAAAGTATGGCTCGGATTAGACTATTGGAGTCTTTAAATGTATGTGTTAAGTAACTTAGGAATTAGGAATAGACGAGTCATAGTTAGAAGTGAGATTCCATTTGAAACTTACCAATTGAACTGGTGTAGAATATCATATACTCATATTAGTATACTTACAAATAAGTTGCCCACTATGAGGCAAAAACATTTGAAAGCTGAAATTACAATTCATTATGAATAAAAGAGTTTCGAAAAAGTTTTCCGTTTGTACCTTCAATGATAGTCGTGTGTAATTTTAAAGATGCCTACATTACGTACTATAACAAAAGTTACTGGATTAAATAAATTCAGTTGAGTGTAATAACGGAGTAAATAGAAAATAAAGTGATTTACAGTGGTTAAACAATGACTTATGTACATCTTATCATCATAGAGCTGTACGATTAGTTTAATGGCTAGTTTCAGTTTGGGGTTGTGGAGATTGTTGAATTTCCCTGAAATCATGAACCTATCAATGATAGACAAGCATTGAAGATCTGAAGGCACTGGATGGACGTTTTGTTCTAGTTTACGACTCTTCAGCAGTGCATAGGTGGTCGTACGACATCAAAGTTTGGTTACACATCAACACCGTTAGATCCGAACTCGGTGATATGGAGTTTAAGCATTTACACGTGAGACCGAAGGTTGTGAGTCCGAGTCCTGCTGAGGAGTCCCATAATAGGACAAGATGGCTATTCAGTGCTTCCAGGTTTTCAATGGTGGTTTAACATTGGTTGGTTTATGATTTCAATGAAACTTAATTACTATTCTGAATGCTTTTATCATTTATGCATCATGTTGCACTTCAATATATCTTTGTTTATATGGGCAAACATTAGTAGAGTGATTAATGGCGTTTTTGTCTACTTCTGTTTGTATTATTAAAAAAACATTTTATCAAAAATAAAATAAAACTAATTTGGTTCATTGAAATGTACTATTCAATGCGGTTTACAGACTTTAATTAGTTATTTTTTTTATGGAAATGAGTTGACAATTTTGTATGTGATGGAAGACAGAAAATAAGGGTAAACAGGACTTTCTCTTTGTCTTCAAATGGAAATCTGTGTTAAGTGGTGTGTTACAAAGTTAAGTCTTAAATACCCTACTATTCCTATCATATATTAACAAATCAGTATTTAGATAGTCATTACTTCTATTTGCAGATAATTTTAATGTCTGATAAATAATAAATAGCAAGCTTCAGAATGATTTAGATAATCCCAAAGTTAGGGTTAGAGATTAGCTCAAGGAAGTGTGCTAATTTACAATGATCATGTTAATATTTACCAGTACACTATTAAGGACACACTACTTCTACAAGTGTATGAACCAAAAAGACTTGAGGACAGTTGTAAACCGTCACTTGAAAAAGACTACAAAGTTCAATACTTACTTACTTACTTACTTACTTACTTACTTACTTACTTACTTACTTACTTACTTACTTGCTTGCTTACTTACTTACTTACTTACTTACTTACTTACTTACTTACTTACTTACTTACTTACTTACTTACTTACTTACTTACTTACTTACTTACTTACTTACTTACTTACTTACTTACTTACTTACTTACTTACTTACTTACTTCCTTACTTACTTACTTACTTACTTACTTACTTACTTACTTACTTACTTACTTACTTACTTACTTACTTACTTACTTACTTACTTACTTACTTACTTACTTACTTACTTACTTACTTACTTACTTACTTACTTACTTACTTACTTACGTTACTCCTGTTACTCCCAATGGAGCATAGGCCGCTGACCAGCATTCTCCAACCCACTCTGTCCCGGGCCTTCTTTTCTAGTTCCATCCAATTCCTGTTCATTTTTCTCATGTCTATCTCCATTTCTCGGCGTTATGTGTTCTTTGGTCTTCCTCTTTTCCTTTGGCCCCGTAGAAAACTAACTAGCTAAAAAAACGCTAACCATAAAAAAAAACAAAGTTCAATACAGCAGCCGTTAAAGAGTTTTGTGTGCTATGGCCAATTTTCAGAGCCTTCAACTGTTTTGAAAGAAATATGTTTTCAATTCTATACTTTGTCTATATGATACCTCATTTGGAATATTAAACTTAAGCAGCAAGTCTTTATCTTATCAAAGGTTTTGATACTCTCAAGTAGGTACAAGTTACTGATATGTCTTTTTAATCTCTCATATGAAGAGAATTTAATGTCTTAATATTTTCTCTCTAATTCTATTACAGAAAGCTAGGTGATCTTATCTTCTCATCCCGTATCTTAATGATTTAGATGTTAAAATGCTAGATATTTTTGTTTACCCAAGAATGTATCATCAGTGAGCCCGTCGAAAGAGGTTTATTAACTATCATCGAACAAGCCCAGATTAGGATCGAATGGTGAACAATTGGGAATACCTACCTGAACAGTTGGTATCAATTTCATTGGTGAATACATTTAAGGAGAAAAATAATAACTAGATCTTTACAGAAATACTTATTTCAAGAACAACCAACTTTTTATCCTTATTACATAGGAACAATAGGAACAATAACGGGGCGGATTTGCATGCATATAGCATACAATTCTCTTTGAACCTAGCACACAACAATAGCGTCATGCACTGTCCCATCGCCCTTGGCAGATCAGGCACCCGAAAGTTACGAGAACACCATCAGGGCATACGACAGGCTAGGTACCCTTTATCCTTATTACTGGAACTAAATATTCATTGAACATTAATTACATAATTTTATATCAGAATGGGTTTTGTGGATATTATAGTAATTTTAATAATTGAGATCATGAGTCAATTAAAGCTAGACCGCCATGGAAAACCTGGAAGCACTGGACGGCCGTTCCGTCCTATTGTGGGACTTCTTAGCAGTACACATCCACGATCCTGCCTCGCAAGATTCCAACTCAGGACCTATCAGTCTCGCGCGGTCTCCAAGAGACATTTACTGGAGTTCTAGTGAAAAGCGGTGATCAGTGGAGTCCAACCGGGGCTGTTGTGAGATAGTGACTCATTTAAAACAATCGTGAACGGTGGCTCAATTTCATGGATTAGTTGAAGTTAGACATTAATACCGTTGAATGCAGGCTCAGTGGTCGAACGGTTAAGCGCTCGCGCGCGAGATTGATAGTTCCTGGGTTGGAATCTCGCGGGGCGAAATCGTGCATTCGCACTGCTGAGATGTCGCCATCCAGTGCTTGCAGGTTTTCTATGGTGGTCTAGCTTCAACTGACTCATGATCTCAACTATTAAAATTATATAAATTTATGCTTATTCTCGTTACATTTAACAAACATTGCTTCATTTGATTTGTTTAGTAAGGCATAAATCACTTTTAAAA